ATGAACCCTAATGCTTAAAGCTATCATTGAGTTGCCAGACCAATCCTAGTATACTCTACTTCTAAACTTATTAAGTAAACAAGATGTCCTTTTAATTTAAGACACTCGTAGGTATTCAGTTACTTGCAACTAAAAGCATTCTAACTCATGCATGCATTATCTCAGTTAATCCTCAGTTACCCCATGAAGTAGGTATTATTATTCACACTTCACAAATGAGAGAACTTAGGTATTAGTCCCATTTCACCAATGAGAGAAGCTAAGAGAGGTAACCTGTCCAAGGTTTCACAGCTAGAAACTGATAGAGCTCAATCTAAAACTTAGCACTATCTGGAGCCAAAGCCCAAGTTTTTCACCCTTTTATAAATGTCTACATGATAGATGATCAAACTGGGAGGAGGATGTGACCATCTCCAGACTTGAAGGAAATAGTAGCTTGGATGTAGCTAAAGATACAATGTGTGCCAGAACAGCTGCCTGCAAGAGGAAGCTTACTGTCCCCTTACCTGTCCGTGTCCTAATTCCTGAAAACTGTAAATGTTATCTTTCATGAAAAGGGTCTTTGCAGATGCAATTTAAGTTAAAGTTCTTGAGACGAAGAGATCATCCTGGGTCATCTGAATGAGCCTTAATCTAATGACAAATGTCCTTATAAGAGACACACAGGGACATTTGACACACAGAAGAGGAGACAGCAATGTGACTACGGAGGCAGAGATTGGAGTGATACAGCCACAAGCCTAAAATGCTGACAGCCACCAGAAGCCAGAAGATGCAAGGAACAGAATCTCCTCTAGAGCCTTCAGAGGAAGTGCAGCCTGCCAACACTCTGATTTAGGACTTTGGGCCTCCAGAACTGTGAGAGAATAAATTTATGTTGTATTATGACATCAAGTTTGTGGTGATTAGTTATGGCAGCCTCAGAAATCTAATAGATTGCGGATCTTTCTGTTTTATTGTAAATACACTTATCTACCTTTCTCACACAAAGGTGGTCAGTATGCCTTTCTTCTAAGTTTGGATGTATATATTCCTTACGTGGTAAATTTCTATTGTAATCCTTTGTGGTTCAAGGATAGAGTGCCAACTATTTCCTTAGCAGAGGTCGAGGAACCTTTCTAGGAAGAAGGTCCATAGCCATTACATTCTCAATAGAGTCTCAACAGGATCCAAAAAACTTTAAGAATTTCTATGTGGAAGTAAAGAATGAGAGGCAGCTGAACTCTGAGAGAAATGAGAACAAAGACCATGAAAAATACAAAGAGATAAGTTTCAAATATTTGGAAACCAATATACATATAAAACACACCAATGTGTGTGGTTAGAAGGCTTGAAAGCCATGTCTTCAGAAATAAGCTTCAGATTCCTCATAATGCAGGTGAGGAGGCAGGAGTTACAATGGTTTTTCAAGGGAGACTACAAAGGGCAACTCCATATAGCTCAGCGTCCGAAAGAAAGGAAATGCTTTCTGGACAGAGGGTAAGGAGGTTAGAGAACAGTTCAAATTTCTTTAGTTAAAAAGGAGTTGAAAAAGGTAAATCCTGTTTCAATGACAAGTAAGTAAAATTCTGTCTCTAAAAGAGTCATTTCTATTATATTGGGGGGAAGAGGAGAAAGTAGGCGCTAAAAATAAGGAAAAGTATGATCTTAAGTCTGACTCTAAAAAGGAAGAGGAACAGGACACATTTTCTGGGGCTGTCTCTATGAAAAATTATGAGACGAAATTTAGAAGATTTGGAAAAAGTCTTAGCTGCCAAATCCGCAAACCCCTTATGATGGCCTGCTCCATTAATTACCATGCAAACTGCCTCACAAGCAGTACATGGGCTGGAATCACCTGCATTATTCCTCTGTGAAGGGACAAGGGTGTTTCAGTGGTAGAATTCTCATCTATCATGCGGGAGACCCGGGTTCAATTCCAGCCAGTTCACCTCATGGGCAGCAACCACCCATCTGTCAGTGGAGACTTGTGTGTTACTATGATGTTAAGCAGATTTTAGTGAAGGTTCCAGACTAAGATGGATTAGAAAGAAAGGCCTGGCCATCTACCTCTGAAAATCAGCCAGTGAAAACCCTATGGATCACAACATTTCGTTGTGCATGGGGTTGCCATGAGTCAGGAGCTGACTCAATGGCAGCTACCAACAATTCCTCTGTGAAATTACTGGAGATCCGTGTTGGGGTAATGGTAGGGAGAGAGAAGAAGGGAGAGGGTGTGAGAGCAGCTTGGCTTTCCAAAAAATTGGCACAGAGTCTCTGCAGCCTTCCATAACAAGATTACAAAGTGTTTTCATACGAATTACCTCACAGGTGTTTACAGTTCACTGCCTGCCTGCCTGCCTGAAAGGAGCTGACAGGAGCAGGTGAAACCCAGAGCCTGGTTTTCAGCACATAGTTCACAATTCTAACCACAAGAAAACATCCTTCACCAAACAGGAACCTGGCCTTGAAAATTTCACAGACTACAGCCTTTCCTGCCACACACCTGGGATATAACATCAAATAGCTTGTTTGGAACCCATTACAATAAATTGTTTAAGAGTTCACAAGAAGTACAAAGCATATACATATAAAACGGACCACAATTTTTGTCTAAGGATTCTGTTCTAACATCAATTTCTTCTCTGGAGCAAATATGCTATTTCCAAAACTTACATGAAGAAGAGAACATCAAGTAAGAAACGGCCTAATTAAGGTTTCGGGTTTTTGTTTTGTTTTTTCTTTAAAGGAAAAGTCATACTAACCTCTAACTGACTCTTTGAACAGAATTCTCAAATTAGCAGAGGAATAAAATGTACCAGCCATTTGGCCATGCGAGTTTTATGATGTAGCAGCACATTTTGTAACATGAGAATTCAACGTAGTACAAAACTTTCTTTATCAAATTATTTCATCCTTCTTATTCCATGTTCTTTCTAAGCAGGTGTTCATTTGTAAATGGCCTCCGGCATCTTCTGAGGTTTGCTGCTCTCAGACCTCCCATATCATCTCTCACTTCACCCACAAAACCCAGGATGACTTTCTACTTGGGTCTAATAACAAGTAAGAAGAAGGCAAGGTACTTATTTCAGTTAGCAAACACATACAGAAACTTACATGTGTCAGGCATAAAAATTTCCATAGCACTTTACAAACATTAAGCCATTTAATCCTCAAAAACCCTGTGAGTTAGGTTCTATTTTCACCTCCATGTTACAGATGAGGAAACTGGGTCATATAGCTAGTTAGAGGTAGAGCCAAGACGTAAACTGAGTTTGTGTAATTAACCACAGCACCATGCTATTAAGCAGTAGTATTATATAGGAGAATGAAGCAGAAGTATTATCAAATAACACTAAATGCTCGTATGTAAGCATTATAAAATATATGATGTATATGGGTTATCTTTAATTTTCGTTTGGACAGATTTTCATCATGGGTTTCTAAAATTATAACTCATGAAGCTTTATGCTATATATGCAATGGTAGTGTTAGTCAATTGATATAAAGATAATCACCTCTTCTCATGGATTGAATTGTGTCCCCCAAAAATATGTGTCAGCTCAGTTAGGCCATAATTCCCAGTATTGTGTGGTTGTCTCCATTTTGTGACATAATTTCCCTATGTGTCCTAAAGCCTAATCTCTGCCTGTAGTTAATGAGGCAAGATTGGATTATGTTAAAGACGATTAGAGTAGGATGTAACACCCTTGCTCAGGTCACACCCCTGATCCAATGTAAAGGCAGTTTCCCTGGGGTGTGGCCTGCACCACCTTTTATCTTGCAAGAGATAAAGGGAAAGGGAAACGAGGGGCATAGGGGGGGTGGGTGACCTCATGCCACCAAGAAAGCAGTGCCAGGAGCAGAATGCATCCTTTGGACCCGAGGTTCCTGCATGGAGAAGCTCCTAGTCCAGGGGAAGTTTGATGACAAGGATGTTCCTCCAGAGTCGAAAAAGAAAGCCTTCACCTGGAGCCGACACCCTGAATTTGGGCTTCTAGCCTACTAGACTGTGAGAGAAAAAAACTTCTGTTTGTGGTAGCCATCCACTTGTGGTATTTCTGTGATAGCAGCACTAGGGGACTAAGACATCCCTCAAGTCTGCATGCATCTTTTAATCATCAATTATGTTTATTTCTCTGATTATAAAAGCAATAAATGTTCATATTTGGAAGATTCAGAAAAGCACATGGCAAAAATAAAAATCACTTATACCATTTAGAAATCATCACTGTTGATATTTTCATACATACATATTCTCTAGTCTCCTTTCTATATGTATATCCATCCATCTGTATACTGACAATATTTATTAAATATGGCTCTTTGTGACAAATGGATGCGTTATTCAAATAAAAACAATTTACACTTTTTTCAATGCCCCAATGTGTACAAAACATTCTCTAAGCATTGAAAAAGTCATAAAATGAATACATTTAAATCACAAAAGTACTATCAAGTAGAAATAAGTTCCCAATAATCCGTATGTGACAGCATTCTTAAAAATTCAAATATTCAATTGAAGTTGCGGTGGTGGTATATTTCAACCTGATTATGTCACTACATTTTCTGCATTACCCAGAAGCAAAGTTTTAGCATCAATAGGATGAAAATAATAAATATTTGCTTCTTAAACTAATGCACAAATTAATTGATGTGACACCTCCACTAATTCATGATTATTTTCTTAATGAATTGATTTGAAGGCTTCTCTATGATAAGAAGGCACAAGACAACCAAAAAGAAATATTGATTTATGATTGTTGTAATACTGCTCAGTATTTTTTAAGTAAATTGTATCCATAAAGCATGTGATAATTACTAATCAGGTAATCCACAAATCACCTTGCTGAGCTAGGTGTAGAAGAAAGAAATTATTTAATGCAGGAGGAAAATGAACACCATAAATCAATCTGCTACAAGGAAAACTTGCATAGCTACACAAAACAATTTCTAGCATCATGTGAGTGGCTGTGAGGAATTCCTCAGCTAACAGTGGACTCCTATTGGTGGCTACAATGTCAGAGCCATGAAGACAGCTTCCTCTTGACTGTGCCAGTAATTTTCCTGTATGGATTGTCTAAAGGTAGCAAGACCTACAGAAAAAACACGTTAATCTCAGAGGCATTAAAATACCTCCCCTCCTTTTTTCTATGAATCAATATTTAAACAACAACAACCTGTTAAACAGGAAAATGTATGTGCTGTGCAGTGAAGTTACTTCAAGCATGGCAATGTATTATTTTTCTGGCAATAGGTGAGAGTTGATTTACCAGAAAATTAAAGTTTTTAAAAAATGTTTAATCACTGGGATATGTTTCTAAAATGCATTACATATCCCTGCTTTTCCAACAGAGTGTGGAGAATATAATTTGACCTTTACTTGATGACTCACTTTGCACATCAATCATCGTCCAGTGCTGTGATACAGCCATGCCCTCAGGAGCATATGAGGTCTGAAGGGCTGTTAGCCTAATGCTAATGGCTCCAGACAGCTGTGCTTTTAGAGGTCTTCGTCTTCCCACTCTGCCATTTGTCACTTTTCTGCTGTTGTCAGTGTGTCCTGACTCCTTGCTTCCTGTGTGTTGCCTTCACTTTGTACACACCTGCTGGGTCAGAGCCTGAGAGCAGCTCCAACCAGCCCCACGGTGCAGACGCAGAAGCAGGGACAGAGCCTTGACTCAGAGGAACTTTGGCCTTCCTGCCTCCAGGTCCCTCGCTGGGCTCTGGGAGGGAGCTGGGGGATGAAGTCTGACTTCCTGGATGAAGGAACACTACTGCCTCAGCCCACCAGCAAGCCCTTGAGCTGGATCGGCCCAGGCCTGAGGCATCAGGGGCCCTGAGGATGCATGCCTTCCTCACTCTGCCTGGGGTCCTGTGCTGAGCACTGCTCCAATTAAGTCATGAAACCTGACCTTTTTTCCTGCTTGGGTCCACTTGTTTTGCCTCTAGTGGATATGGAGTCCCTGGGTGGTGAAAACGGTTAACATGCTCCGCTGCTAACTGAAGGCTGGAGGTTCGAGTCCACTCAGAGACACTTCAGAAGAAAGGCCTGGTGATCTACTTTCGAAAATCATTGAAAACCCTATGGAGCACAGTTCTACTCTGACACACAAGGGCTCACCATAAGTTGGAATCGACTTGATGGTAACTGGTGTTTCTGTTTTTTCCTGGTGGATATAGCCAGGATTTCTTTCAGGTCTGTCTCTTGCCCTTTAGAAGGTAATCATTTAAAAGGGGCTTTAAATTTAAATTAATGAAATTTCAGTAGTCAACACCCTTTCCTTCTTCTGAAGTACATAGCACTGCCCTTATTTCAGCTGAAAGAATGGCATATGGGATCAAGGTCGCTCTCCTTTGCCACTCAGGACACCATATCACTTACACCAGGCACCTAACAAGAGCTTTGCTCTCCAGTGCTGCCCCCTCAACCACTACCTGCTACGGACGGCAGGGAAAAGCCAGGGGAGTCCGCCAACAGTCACTGCAGAACAAAGTAAGGTATCTGGCAGAGGGGCTCTGACTACTGAGACTGCTGAGTCAGCAGACCCAGAATGTAGGCTCTTCCTGAAGAACCTTTATTGGCCTTTACCCATCAAAGGATGTGATTCTAAGGCAGCAGAGCTATGTTAATCGATGGCCCCTTCTTTGCCTCATTCCCCCACACACAAAAGAAAAAGTTTCCTAAAATGGAGTTTTTTAAATTATAGAAGTCTGTGGGAGGATGCATCAAATAGAGGAATCCTATCATTTTAAAATAGGAGTCTCTGGATGGTTCAAATGGTTAAGCTCTTGACTACTAGCCAAAAGGTTGGTGGTTCAAACCCACACAGAGGCCTTGGAAAACAGGCCTGGCGATCTGCTTCTGAAAGGTTGCAACATTGAAAACCCTATGGAGCACAGTTCTACTCTGCACACATGGAGTCACCAGGAGTTAGAATCAACTACAGGGCAACTAACAACATCATTCTGAAATTGGTTTAAGGGGGAGGGACAATTCTAATATCCCTAAATTGACCACAAAGGCTATCTGTCAGGATTTTAGGCTATCTAGTTGGACATACAAGGGGCCCTAGTGGGGCAGTGGTTAAGGGCTTGGCTGCTAACTGAAAGGTTGGTGGTTCGAACCTATCAGGTGCTCTGCAGCAGAAAGATGTGGCAGTCTGCTTCTGTAAAGATTACAATCTTGGAAACCCTATGGGGCAGCTCTACTCTGCCCTATAGGGTCAGTTTGCTATGAGTCAGAATCGACTCGATGGCAACGGGTTCGGGTTTGGTAACTGGACATACTAAGTGGTTTAACTTTCTGTCATGGCTAGAATGGGTCAAGGTAAGTGTTTTTTGCAAGACAAGGTTTCCTTTCAAAAAAATGAATTTCTTCATCCTGCCATCTGTAATTGCAATTAGAAACACAAATACTCTTTCATCTTTCCGTGCGTTGTGTATGCTATTGAATTGACCACTTAATCAAAAGGTAGAGATGATGGAAGAAACTGAAAATAGCATGTTTTTTTTCTCCCTATTGACTCATGATGGAAGAATAACGAAGCTGAGACCTTGTGTGGCACCTTTTGAGGAAGCAGCTCTCAGAGCTGTTTCCTTGGGCACACTCTGTTCTTTCTTTGTCTTTCCCTCTGCAGCTTCCAACCCTCCTCTATAATTATTCATCTACTTCTAGGGTACTCTAGCCGCAGGCACTGAAAGGCCCAGGGTCTGAGAGAGCTCTAATCAGTGGCGACTATAAATATTCTCCCAAGCAACAGCTGCTAAGAGTTTTAGTCGGTGATATTATCATCCCAAGTTTATAAAGACGGGTGGGAGGTGTGCTTTTTTTTAGAGTTCTCTTACCTCTTCCTTGTTGATCAGTCCCACTTTGGACATGTCTGTATTAAAATAGTGAATGTTTGGCAGGCTGATTTCCATGTCTTCTATCTGGAATGCACAATAATATGTATCACATTGGGCAGTTGTGAGTCTCTCTATTACCACCCACCACCCACCTTATTCAGGCTCCACCTCTGCCTCTGAGGCACCCCCTGCTGCCTCTCTGTTGCCCTACACTCTTCTCTCCTACTGGTCCTGCTATTAAAAGGTGGGCCCACTCTTCTCAGTGTACAAAATCTGCTCTTCTGAAAAGTAAGTGTTCCTTGGGTCACAAACCTGGGAGACCTCTTAGACGTCCAACTGGTCTCCATATGCTGGCAAGTTAACCTCCTAAATTCCTCCTAATTCCATTCCCTCCTCTCTAGGCCTGTCCCTAACATTTGCAGGCTTGGGGGTAAGACTATTAACTGGAGGCCCGTATACCAGATGCCTAAAGATTTGAAAGTTATAAATCAAACTAACAAACTTTTTTAAGTAAAATATGTTCTAGCCTTCTAATCTTACAAATATATCTTTATAATGACCTAGAAGGTAAGTTCAAATTTAAAATTCTCTGACTCCTTGGAGTGCCATGCCAAGACATGGCAGCATGGGAAGAGCTAGCCCCCAGCCCTGGCCCACCCACTTTCTCTCTTGGACTCAGGTGGGTGAGCCCCCGCCTGCACATCAAGTCTCACCCATACCTCCTGCAAACAGCTGCCCCTTTGACAACCCTCCAGCCTAAGGGTGTGCACACCAATGGCATGATCTGTTCTCTGGAGGGTGGATCTGGGAAAGACCCCTGTGCAGGCTTGGAAGTAGGCTCAGAGCTATTTTGGCAGGAAATTTTGGAGGCCCAGGTATCGAGAGACGGGTCTAAAAGGCGACGTGTGGGCTCCTGGGGGGTTTGTTCCCTTGGACCCACAAACTTCACCCAGCGGAGAGAGGCATAGTCAGAGGAAGGCCTGAAGGGGGTCTCTAAAGTACTGGGTCATAGCAGGAGTCCCTCTTGCCCAGGCCTAAAGGCAGTACTCCTCCTCTCCATCCCTGCCATTGCCTTAGCTCGGGCCCTCCTTACCAGATTTCTACAATAGCCTCCAAACAGGTGTCCTTGCCTGTGATCTGTCAGCCTTTTAATGACCACACTTCTTTCAGAGTGATCTTTCTAGAGTGCAAATCTGGTCATGTCACATCCCGCTTATACCCTAAAAGCTCTCAGGATAAAGTACAGACTCTATAGCTAAGCCCAAAGTAGCCCTTCCTGATCTGAACCCTGCCTCATCTCTAGGCACATAGAAATACTTTCACTCCTGTAGCTTCACATGCGGTCAACAAGCTCAACAGTAAACAACTATACCATGCTGTCTCCTGTCTCCATAACACCCTTTGCTCCCTCATCCTCAAGTGTGAACCCAGATAACCCCTACTTATCGCTAAAGTCTCAACTCAAGCACCTCTCCCTCCAGGGAGCCTGGCTGGCCCTATCCTCTAAACCTGTGTTAGATGCCCTCCTCTGTATTTCCATAATATTCTATTCTCTAGTGTATTATTAGTTTACTTATTTTCTTTTTTTCACTGAATGATGAGCTCTTTCAGGGTAAGGACCATTTCTAATTTATCTTTGTATCTCTCATACGCTGGCAGAGACATACTAACCATTCAATAATATCAAATGGGAACCCTGGTGGCATAGTGGTTAAGATCTTGGCTGCTAACCAAAAGGTCAGCAGTTCAAATCCACCAGCCACTCCTTGGAAACCCTATGGGGCAGTTCTACTCTGTCCTATAGGGTTGCAATGAGTCAGAATCGACTCGACGGCACCTAACAACAGAAACAATATCAAACGAATGGATGGATAGATGGGTGGATGGGTGGATGGATGGATGGATGGATGGAATCTCTCTACATCTATCCTTTATTCTCTGGCTCCCCTGAAACATAGGTCCTCCATTTAATTACCCTTCCCTCAAGGCAATCAGGTGTCATGAATATGAGGCCTAAATCAGTAGCAGGTTGAAAGGACTCAAAGAATTCTCAACAAAACTAAAGAACCACAGCATGGCCTGTGTTTTTAAGTTGGACAGATTTTTCCATTTTTTGCTCTCCTCTCACTTGCTATAACAAGCTTTTGAACAATAACAGATGTCATTTTTCATATGTCTTACAATTTCTTATTTTAACTCTCAACTCTTTTTCAGAGCTGACAGGAAACACAAGTTCTCTCAATCCTCAGAATGGCAAGTGACAAAACGTACCTCGGGAACCCGGCTCAGGAAGAGCACTTGGATGTCGTAGAGGGTCTTCTGGACAGAGGGCGAGAACTCGCCTTTGTCATAGGGCCCAGCAAATTTCTCCAGGACAATGTTCCAAACAGTATCCCTGAAACCCATAGAAGGAAACTGAGGACTCTCATAGAGTCATCTTTCAAGAATTCGTTGGAAAGCTATAAAGCAGTGACCCTTTTGCCCCTCAGAAAACAATTTTATTGCCGATTTTAGATGCGATTAATATCTGACAATGCGCAAAAATCTCACTTCCCATTTCCCTTCACACGCACCCACACTCATACACCACCACCACCATTCAACAAACATATTGAGTATCACTAGGCTGTCTTCATAGTCTAACACCAGGGCTGAATGGGCATTCCAGGGTAAACTTCCCTCCGCATTTGAAGAACCTATAAAGAGGATTCCTATTACTGCTCAGCTTGGCTAGTCCCTTGAATTGTTACTTGACTGAGCTCTCCACATAAAGACAAAATTCCAGTGTAGTCACTCATTCATTTAGTTTATTTTTCTTCATAACATTTGTCATTACCTAATACTATATTGTTCTTTTTTATTTCCCCCATACAGTTAAGCTCCACAGTGCTAGGAATTTTGCCTATGTTGTCTTACTGTTACATCTCTAGTTACACATAATAAGTGATCACTAAACATTCATTGTTTTGCATAATTCATTCTCCAAATATTCCTTAGATACTTATAATAAGCCAAGCACTCTGCTAGCCACTGTGATACTAATATGTACAAGATATGGTCTTTATTCTAATAGTTGAGACTGACATATAAACAAATATTCATTCATTTAAGAATATTTGATTTCCTATTAAGTTCTAGGCAATACTTCTTAATACCCAGTATGTACAAAGGGCAAAACTACCCATGGTGGGAAGGTCTAGAGAGAGTGTCACCCAAAAGAAGACATTTTGAGCTGAGTCTTAAAGAATTAATAGAAGGTTATCAAGTAAGAACAAGAAGGGGAAGGGCAAAAATAGCCACATACGCTGATGCAAATAAGAACATGGTAATCAGGCAACTTTGGGAACTTGGAAGGGATCTGATTTGAGTTGAGAAGGAAGGAAGTGTTTATAGATGTTACAGAGCCAGACGTTCGTATTATCATATAATTAAAGGCGCAGAACAAATCTATATCAGTGGGAGGAAGCTACCAGAAGCATGTTTCAGCTTATTATACATAGGGTAAAAGTTTCTAACAATTAGAGCTTCAGCAAAGAAAGGAGATGCCTGGTCAAAAAACAAGTTATCAGTCTCTGGAAGTCCAGGAGCCTAATTACTGCTTATCAAGGATATTGTAATAAGAATCTTACCTTTATGTTTTTAAAGCATGTAACATTTACAAAGTGCATCAATGGATATTATATCACTTTGAGTTTAGCCTAGGGTGACCAATTGTCCCAGTTTGCCCAGGACCAAGGGGTTTACCAGGACACAGGACTTTCATTGCTAAAACCAGGAAAACCCTAGGCAAACTGGGAAGAATTAGTCACCCTAAACTAGTTTAGCCCTCTCTATAACCCTCTGAGGTAGTAAGGCCAGAAATTGTTATCTTCATTTAGTCCAGTGGTTCTTAAGGTGTGGTTTCCCAGTCCAGTAGCGTCAGCATCACCTGGGAGTTTGTTAGAAATGCAAATTCTTGGCTCCTACCCCAGACCTACAGAATCACAAACTCTGAAGGTGGGGTCCATCAATCTCTGTTTTAACAAACCCTGCTGGTGATTCTAATATACTCTAATGTTTTAGAACTACTGATTTAAAAAATTAAAAACAGAGAGTTTTAAACTAGAAATTCCTTTCAGGTATAAGACTCCATGAATTCTGGACACCTGCAAACAGAGCAAATACTACCTGCCTCAGAGCTAGGGCCTAGCACCCATTCTTACCAGGTGGCCTAGAAGTCCACATCTTTGCATTGGCAGTAGCGCCACTTGCAGTACACCTGGGTGGCAAAGCACCGGTCCTTCACCTCAGGGAGGATGGTGAACTGGTCTTTAATGAATCCTTCAAATCCAGACTGAGTCGTTTTCAAGAACTTGAGGTCTTTGATTCCGGAATGAATGACTGGAGATTCTATTTCAAGTTAGAAAAGGTAAGAAAAGATGAGATGATAAAACAGTGTCTTCTCACTGAGAACTAGCACTGAGAACCCTAGTCATTAAAACATGGCATACTATATTAATAAAAGAACTACATCTCTGCTCCTTGATTTCTTTCTTCTTATCTCCTATTAAGTCTGAGTGATGAGGATGGTGTGCCGTTCCCTCTGTCTAGATTCCATGAATCCCTACTCTGAGAAGTTAGAGCCAACTACAAGGTTTAGGGGGCACACAGTGTCCACACAAAACTGCCTAGCCTCACTTCTGACACAAACTGCTAGTTCAAGGGCTTCCCAAAATCACCCCTGTTTTGATAATTCTTTAGAAAGACTCATAGAACTCAATGAAAGTTATTATATCCACAGTTACAGTTTATTCGAGGGAATGGATACAAATTAAAATCAGCCAAATGCAAGTAGTACATAGGTGACATAGATTGAATTGTGTCCCCCAAAAAATGTGTGTAGCAACTTGGCTAGGTCATGATTCCCAGTATTGTATGACTGTGTTATCTGATGCGATTTCTTTATGTGTTGTAAACTCTACCACTATGATGAGATTATATGTGATCTCCTCATGTGTTGTAAATTCTATCACTGTGATGAGGTTATACTGATGAGGTTGACAAGAT